CTCTCTCTCTCTCTCTCTCTCTCTCTCCCCCTCTCTTTCTTTCTCTCTCTCTCTCTCTCTCTCTCTCTCTCCCCCCTCTCTTTCTCTCTCTCTCTCTCTCTCTCTCTCTCTCTCTCTCTCTCTCTCTCTCTCTCTCTCTCTCTCTCTCTCACTCTCTCTCTCTCTCTCTCTCTCTCTCTCTCTCTCTCTCTTCAGATATTGTATGTCTACAAAGATTATTTTGAGCATATCCAGGGTTTGTTTGTCAGTTCGAAAAAGCTTGAGAAATCTCCGAGAGAAATATGGCAGGAAATTAAAGAGAATCATTACGCCAATGGAACCTTGGTAAGCGAAATAAACTAATAAATAATAATAATAAAATTAGGAACCACATATTTTGCCTTGGCCTCGTAAAGTCGGATTTCTTGTAAGTACTATGAGTATGTCATGTGACTGTGTGGTCATGTGATGCTATCCTTCAGGTGGGGTCTTGCCTTATCGATATCATATTGTCCACTCTTAAGCTGCCCAAAGATGCTGCTGCTTATAAAACTGATGATGAAAGGTTAGTAAATCATAGGATACTTTAGGATATTACTAGTATACTGTTGCTTTGGATGTTTATGCCATCCTTTGGCATAATTATTATTAGCATAACTTAGGATATTCTTAGTATATTATTTGTATAACTTTGTATATTATATTTCTCACAGTGTTGGTGAGTTTGCGTTCAAGCACACCTATATCCAAGTTAAAGAAAGAAAACATGGTCACGTAGCAGTTCAATATTCACTGTACAGAATGTACACTAGATTAAGGAATAAAGCAGCTGCTATGTCCTTTAATATGGACTCGTCTGAAATACCAATGAGGGTACCACCTCAGCCTTGGACTGATGCTACTAATGGAGCATTTTTATTGACACCTTGTAAGGGAGAGATATATCTCCATGTGTTCAATATTTATGTTTTAAAATGGCCATAACTTGAAAAATTTAAGTCGGAATCAGCTCAAACTTTCTACACAGCATAAGTACATCAATATGTATCAGAAAATGTAATAAAAATTTGGGATGATTTTTTAGCCATTTTTCCGAAAAAACCATGGTCTATAGCCTTGGGTATTTTTCAAATTTTGGCCTATTTCTTAAAATGGCAGTAACTTGAAAAATTTAAGTCGGAATCAGCTCAAACTTTCTACACAGCATAAGGGGATCAATATGTATCAGAAAATGTGATAAAAATTGGGGGTCATTTTTTAGCCATTTTTCCGAAAAAACCATGGGCTATAGCCTTGGGTATTTTTTAGATTTTGGCCTATTTCTTAAATTGGCCGTAACTTAAAAAATTTAAGTCGGAATCAGCTCAAACTTTGTACACAGCATAAGGATGTTAATATGTATCAGAAAATGTAATAAAAATTGGGGGTCATTTTTTAGCCATTTTTCCGAAAAAACCATGGGCTATAGCCTTGGGTATTTTTTAGATTTTGGCCTATTTCTTAAATTGGCCGTAACTTAAAAAATTTAAGTCGGAATCAGCTCAAACTTTGTACACAGCATAAGGACGTTAATATGTATCAGAAAATGTAATAAAAATTGGGGGTCATTTTTTAGCCATTTTTTGAAAAAACCATGGGCTATAGCCTTGGGTATTTTTCAAATTTTGGCCTATTTCTTAAATTGGCCGTACATGTGCATGTAGTGGTATAAGATGTTTCTAATTATATTTTAATTTTAGCTTCTGTGGTTCGTACACATTATGACTCATTCCACCAGCAGCTGCTACTAAAAGCAGCTGACAGCTTGTCACCAGTTCTGGACTCACTGAACTATCTCAGTTTGTATCCCTGGAGGGTTAATAATAGAGTGAGGAGGAAAGGACTTTTAAAATACTTTTATATTGATATTGTCCTCTTCCAGATTTTAGACATGGCCATTGACATATTTAATCAAGGAGGCGACAAGAGTCTTGATATCCCGACTGACGAACTATTTGATAAACCTTTACCAAAATACATCAAGTGAGTCTCGTCTTTGTTGTTACTCTTATTATTCCAGCTGCTGTTTTTAGGGATATTGATGAAGAGACAAGGAAAAAAATTTATAAAGAGAGGTTCGCTATTAAAAAAGAAAACGCAGAGAATTTCTCTTTGAAAATGACTTTACTCTACAACCTGTCTATGTGCAATCATGTAAGATTATTTATAATTATTCATAATAGTTCATGTACATATACTTTTTATTTTAGTTCCGTGACTGTCTGTTCTGGTTACCTCACAACATGGACTTCAGAGGACGAGTGTATCCCATACCACCTCATCTCAGTCACATGTGTAAGACCACACCTACTTAGTTACGCCCACCAATTACTCATTCCCATACCACATAATTCCATTCCTGTACCATCTTTTTCAACAGCTAGTGATCTTAGTCGTTCTCTACTTCAGTTTGGTGTTGGGCAGCCTCTTGGTAGAAGAGGGTTAGAGTGGCTTAAGATTCACATAGCAACTTTACATGGAGCAAAAAGCAAGTAAGTATATTCTCCTTTCTCTCTCTCTCTCTCTCTTTGATTTATGTTCAATTTGTATGTACGTACACATGTATTGGAGATATTTTTATGAAATTTGCATTTTTAAAGCAAGAAAATAGATGAAAAACTTCCCCGTAAAATTATGGTTTTTGTGTTTTTTTAATATTTTAGGAGTTCGTTAAATGAGAGGCTGGAGTATACTGATAGTATTATTGATGATATTGCTGACTCAGCAGACAAACCTTTAGAAGTGAGGGAGGGAGAGAGAGGAGAGAGAAAGGAGGCTAATGATTAATAGTCACTAGAATAAGTGGATAATTGGTTGTTACAGGGCAGAGGTTGGTGGAGAACAGCTGATGTTCCTTGGCAAACACTAGCAGCTAGTATGGAACTAATGGACGCCTTGAGATCTGGTGACCCTGAGAACTTTATATCTCATACGACCATCCATCAGGTAATGATGTAAATTGTCAAACTGGTTTGTCGACTTTTGTTAATAGGATGGATCTTGTAATGGCCTCCAGCATTACGCTGCTATGGGTAGGGACGTGTACGGAGCTCATCAAGTTAATCTGGTTCCTTCCGAGAAACCAGCTAACCTTTACGCTGAAGTAGCAAAACTTGTGAGTACAGTATATAGTATTGAATGTTAGGATATTGCTTGTATATTATTTGTATATTGTTTGGATATTGTTTGGATATTGTTAGGTTGATGAAAAGAGAAAGGTCGACGCTACGTCTGACAAAAATGTTGAAATTGCTAAAATATTGGAAGGAAAAGTTCACCGCAAAGTAAGAATTAAGAGTCACAAGTACTTGTACATTTTTTGTTCTCTCAAAGGTTGTGAAACAAACCGTCATGACTGTTGTTTATGGCGTTACCTTTGTAGGAGGAAGATTACAAATTGAAGTAAGTTATTCATTTATTTATTTAAACCGTCATTCTTTCTCTCTCTCTCTCTCTCTCTTCTTCAGAAACAGCTAAAGGGTACTATACCTGATAAGCACTTGTTCGAAGCCAGCAGCTACCTCTGTGGACTTGTGTTCGAGAGTCTCAGCGAAATGTTTGAAAGATCCAGAAAAATACAAGTACGTGACAGTATCAGTGACCACACCCAGTGACCATACCCACACAGGATTGGCTGGCTAGTTCCGCTAGAAAGATAGCACTTGCTGGTCACCCAACGCAATGGGTAACACCCATCGGCCTGCCTGTGGTACAACCTTATCACAGAAAATCAATCAAGAAGGTGGGCGGAATTGACCACGCCCAATATCACATGATATCGTTTTAGATCACTAGCAAGATCCAGCGTCTGCAGTTATTAAATAATTCCGATATCACTTTTCCACCAAATCCGGTCAAACAGAGAAGTGCCATGCCACCTAATTTCGTCCATTCACTTGATTCAACTCACATGATGCTGACTGCCCTAGACTGCCAGAAGTAAGAGGACATGAACTTATAACAGGAGAAAAGATTAATTATTGGGGTACCTGGAGCTTGCAGCTGCTATATTATGTACAGTATATTGTATTGTATTAAAAGTAGACAAGAAGCAGAATGAAGCTGTGTGTTACTAAATGTTTTTTGTTACTCTTAGGTCTGGTATTCCATTTGTGGCAGTCCATGACAGCTACTGGGCTCATGGCCGTAATATTGATGAAATGAATAAAGTAATATTAATAATATTAGATCTTTCTTAATTTCTCTCTGTCCCTCATTATTTTAAGTTTTGTAGAGAGCAATTTGTTGCTCTACACAGTCAACCAATTCTAAAGGATCTTGCAAATTTCTTTGAAGACAATTTTGGAGGATTACCGTAAGCAAAGTTACTATTTTAAGCAGCACTTTGTGCTATTTTTAGTAACACTGTTAGTATTTTTAGTAATGCTTGTTACTGCTTTCCAGGTACAAAACAAATAAAGAAGGAAAAATGGTCACGTCATTTTTAAAGGAATTACCTTCACAAGGTATGGGATGTACACGTACTTTTTGGGCTATTGTTTCATATTTAGGAGAACTGGATTTAAACTGCATCAAAGATTCAACTTATTTTTTCAGTTAAATTTATATTATTTATTATTCTTATATTATTATTATTATTATTATTATTATTTTATTATTATTAAATTAGTCGTTCAAATTTTTGTCGCATTATTTTACATTATCACTTCCACCTGTAAATTTGTGTTGCCACGGTTACTAGGCGCGAACGATTGAGGTTGAGAAGGAGTGATGGCAACTACTGATTCTTTGATATCTTTAGAGTACATCAACCTCTCTGATGTATTGCGACACTTGTGAGTCTAACTACTGTATCAATACTGCAGCCAATTTGTAATATAATATATAAAACATGTATATATACTTTTTGATGCACTGTGTATCCTGCTATTGTCTTATAATAGGCACTTCTCTTCACTATTGTTTAACTATATCTCATTTAATCCTTTTCTCTCCCTCTTTCTCCCTTTCCTCTAGGAAGCATTATATGTACAGGATCAGGAGGGAGAATGGGTTTGATTTGTCTGGTCCTGAAAAACCCTGGGGTGAATTCACAGCTGCTAAAGGAGTCAGTTCATTAATACAATTAAGCTACATCACGTCACATTATGATTTTATGCACCAGTAACATTAATCTATTTATGGGAATTTTTATTGTGATATAGGGATCCTATTATTTCAGTTATTATCAGGACCAGCTCCTTGAGAGTATGCTGGACTCCTACTCAAAGCACAGAGAAGGGAAGGTTTGTTAATATTGCCAAATTATATTACTTTATCCATCTCTCTCTGTCTCTCTCTTATTCCCAGGTTTTTGACAACATTTGTGAGCTTTTGGCCTCAAGACCAACTTTACTTGGAAGGTGACATAAACACAGGCTTATAAATCTTGTATTATATCCCTCCTTTTTCAATCTCTTCTCTTTCTTTTTAGGATAAGAGGACCTCTTGATCTACTGGAGCATCAAGAGGTTGAAGATAATGTCTCAAATGAGTCAACAAGACTCATACTGACAATTGCACAAATACTTATTCAAGAAGTTAGCCTCCAGCATTATGCATGATATATCTAAATATCTACTACAATCATATCTTCTATTTTTTTACATTATTTTTCAGAATGGTGTTTTCCTGAAATCTCTCAAGCCACTGACATCTCCTGCTGCATCACTGGAATCAAGCAAAGTTAGCAATTGAAAAACTACATTGTTTATTTATTATTAATTATGTTATCTTGAACGATAGGAGCATCTGGTAATTGACTCTGTGATAAACAAAGCAAT